GGGGGAAATTGGGGAAAAATTGAGGGGAAATGGGGAAATTGGGGAAAAAATGGGGTAATATAAGAAAGTTAGGAAAAAGGGGTGAAATTAGAAAATTAGGAGAAAATGTGGGGGAAATGGGGAAAAAATGGGGGGGATGGGGAAAAAACGGGAAATGGGGAAAATGAGAAAATTGGGGAAAAATCAGGAGGAATGGGGGAAAATGGGGGGGAAATGGGGGAAAAATTGGGGGGATGGGGAAAGTGGAGGGGAAATGGGGGAAATGGGGAAATTGGGGAAAAAAGGAGAAAATTCTGTGGAAAAGGGAAAAAATGGGGGGAAATTATGAGAATGGGTAAAAATCATTTTAACTGGGGAAAACTGAGAATGGGGAGGAAATGGAGGGGAAAAAATGGGAGGAATTGGGAAAAATGGGGTGGGAGGAGGGGCTGGGAATGGGGAAATTGGGGATGGGAAGGGGAAAAATGGGTCAGGAATGGGGGAAATTGGGGAAATAGGAAATGGGAAAAAAAGGAAAGGGGAAAATGAGGAAAGTGGGGCAGGAATGGGGGAAAATGGAGGGGGTGGAGAAATGAGGAAAAATGAGGGGAATTGCAGGAAAATGGGGCAGGAAACAGCAAAAAGAGGAGAAAAAGGGGGAAAATGGGGCTGGAGTCCCTGCGGGAAGGGGGAGGTTGTGGGGGGCTCCCTGTGCCCCCCCAATTTATGGGCTGCTGACTTTCCCCACCCCAATTTTGGGGTTCCTGATGGGTTTTTTTGTCCCCCCACCCCAATTTTGGGGTTCCTGTCGGGTTTCTCTCTCTCCCCCCACATGGATTTTGGGGTCCCTGCTGTGTCTCCCTCCAATTTTTGAGGCTCTCCCCTAATTTTTGGTGTTCTCTTCCCGTTTTTGGGGCCTCTGATCCTTCCCTCCCTGTTTTTGTGGTTCTCTCCCCAGTTTTGGGGTTCTCTCCCAAATTTTAGGTGCTGTCCCTATTTTGGGGGTCTCTCCTGCATTTTTGGCGTTCTCTGTCATTTTTGGAGTTTGCTACCCGAATTTTGGGGTTCTGAGTCTCCCCATTTTTGCTGTTCTCTCCTCATTTTTAGGTTTCTCTCTCCTCTTTTTGAGTTTTCCATTTTTGGTGTTCTCTCCTCATTTTTAACGTTTTTGTCCATATTTGGGCTTCTCTCTCCTTTTTTGGGTTCTCCATTTACGGTGTTCTCTCCCCATTTTTGGTATTTTCTTCCCTTTTGTTTGGATTCTCCCGTTTTGGGGTTCGCTCCCCATTTTTGGGGTTTTCTCCCAATTTTTGGCATTATTTCTTTGGGTTTTCCCTTTTTTCCCCTTATTATTTTGGGTTTTCCATTTTTGGGGTTCCCTCCCCATTTTTAGGTTTCTCTCCCCTTTTTTTGTGTTCTCAGTTTTTTGGGGTTGTCTCCCTGGTTTTGGGGTTGTCTCTATCCCCATTTTTTGGTTTCTCTCTCCATTTTTAGGTTTCTCTCTCCCTTTTTCGTGTTATCCATTTTTGGGGTTGTTTCCCTGTTTTTGGGGTTCTGTCTCCCCATTTTTTGGTTTCTCTCCCCATTTTTTGGTTTCTCTCCCCATTTTTGGGTTTCTCTCCCCCTTTTTCGTGCTCTCCGTTTCAGGGGCTGTCTCCCTGTTTCTGGGGTTCTCTCGCTCCCCGTTTTTGGGGTTCTCTCCCCATTTTTGGGTTTCTCTCCCCATTTTTAGGTTTCTCTCTCCCTTTTTCGTGTTATCCATTTTTGGGGTTGTTTCCCTGTTTTTGGGGTTCTGTCTCTCCCCATTTTTGGGGTTCTCTCCCCATTTTTTGGTTTCTCTCCCCATTTTTGGGTTTCTCTCCCCCTTTTTCGTGCTCTCAATTTCTGGGGCTGTCTCCCTGTTTCTGGGGTTCTCTCGCTCCCCGTTTTTTGGTTTTTCTCCCCATTTTTGGGTTTCTCTCTCCCATTTTTTGGTTTCCCTCCCCATTTTTTGATTTCCCCCTTTTTCGTGCTCTCCATTTCTGGGGCTGTCTCCCTGGTTTTGGGGTTTCCTCCCCATTTTTTGGTTTCTCTCCCCATTTTTAGGTTTCTCTCTCCCTTTTTTGGGGTTCCGTTTTTGGGGTTGTTTCCCTGTTTTTGGGATTCTGTCTCTCCCCATTTTTGGGGTTCCCTCCCCGTTTTTGGGGTTCTCTCCCCATTTTTGGGGTTCCCTCCCCATTTTTGGGTTTCTCTCCCCCTTTTTCGTGCTCCCCGTTTCTGGGGCTGTCTCCCTGGTTTTGGGGTTTCCTCCCCATTTTTGGGTTTCTCTCCCCATTTTTTGGTTTCCCTCTCCCATTTTTAGGTTTCTCTCTCCCTTTTTTGGGGTTCCGTTTTTGGGGTTGTTTCCCTGTTTTTGGGATTCTGTCCCTCCCCATTTTTGGGGTTCCCTCCCCATTTTTGGGTTTCTCTCCCCCTTTTTCGTGCTCTCCGTTTCTGGGGCTGTCTCCCCGTTTCTGGGGTTCTCTCGCTCCCCGTTTTGGGTTTTTTTCCCCCGTTTTCGGGGTCCCTGACTCTGCTCTCCCCCCCAGCCCTGCAGCTGCCCCTGGTGAGCGAGGGGGGCCGGGGGGGCGCCCCCGAGAGCCCCCAGCCTGCGCCGCCCCCCCGGCCCCGCCAGATGCTGGGGCTGCCCCCGCCCCCCTACCTGGTGCCGCGCAGCCTGGAGAGGTGAGGACAGCCCTGATTGGCTGATGGGAGCGGGCCTGCGTGCTGATTGGCTGATTGGGGGAGAGCTAGGAGCCGATTGGCCAACTGGGGAGAGCCTACGGTGCTGATTGGCTGATTGGGGAGAGCTTGGGTGGATTAGCCAGAGGGACTGGGGCATCCTGTGCTCTGATTGGTCAGAGGTTTGGGGAGATTCTGTGCTCTGATTGGCCAGAAGTCCATGAGAATCAAAGCTTGATTGGCTGGAAGTCCAGGGTAATCCTGTGCCCTGATTGGCCAGAGGCCTGGAGGGATCCCAGGCTCGCATTGGGCAGAGGAGGGTGGGTCTTGCATCCTGATTGGGTAGAGGTTTGTGGAGATCCTCTTCTCTGATTGGCCAGAGTTCTGGAGAGCTCTTGTGCTGATTGGCCAAAGAGCCAAGGGGACCGCGTGTTCTGATTGGCTGGACAGGAGGCTTTACGCAGCGGTTGGTCGGATGTACAGGAGCCTGTGGCTGCTGATTGGCTGCTGCTCTGAGGGCTCGCAGGCCCTGATTGGCCAGAGCTCTGGCGAGTGGTGCGTTCTCAGTGGCCATAGTTTTGGGGCCATCTTGAGCACTGATTGGCTGGAGCAGAGGTTGCAGCTGCTGATTGGTTGATGATTCAGAGGATCCCCATTGGTGATTGGCCGGCTGGGCAGGAGAGCTGTGTGTGCTCATTGGCCAGGAGTGCAAGCAACCCCTGGGTGCTGATTGGCCAGCCGACCAGGAGCTCCGTGGTGCTGATTGGCCAGGCAGGCGGGATTTCCTGTCCTGCGATTGGCTGGAGCTGATTCCCTGTGTGCTGATTGG